GAAAAAGGAGATAAAATTATTACTTTTTACAAAATAAGTTGTATGGACTGCAACAGGCATTACATCGGCCAAAGTGGGCGTCCCCTTCGAATTAGAATCCAAGAACACAAATCAGCCGTGAAAAGACACGATATGTATTCTTTAGTATCAGTGCATATAGACAATTACGGACATCAATTTGATTGGGATAATGTCGAGATCTTAGACAGAGGAAACACAAAAAGTGCAGTCAGGGAATTCCTATAAGCCTGGTACTCAAATGAAAATGCAATTAACAAACACGTTAATATAGACGAAATATACCAAATAATAAAAAGTAAATCAGGTGACCAGAAAGTTTAAAATCCAAGTCAATAGAAAATGATCAATACATATGTAAAGATGGTTACCGGGAGACGCAATCCTATCACTCATGAAGAAATTTAAATCATTTCACTTTGTGCTAAATATGGCGCTGAAGATGTTGTCCAGAAGGACGACGAAAGCTTCGCAACTAAACCTGTGGTGAGAGCTGTCTACTAGCCAAATTGGTTGACAGTAATTGAGGTCAAGGTCAAGATGGACAGGCGGATACAGAACTGACACAGCCACAAGAGATGCAAGGTTAACTTTGTGTGAGAAACAACCAATCAACAGACTGTATTTTCTACTAACATTAACCTACAATAATGTACGTCAAAATCTATAAATATGTGTTGATTTTCCTTAATAAACGTTCTGATGCCTGGCCCTTGTCTTCTGTTGTTACAAACCAACCAGCTCAGAGAACACTATTAATTGGAAGTCATCCACCTGAGCTACAAATCTTCTCTATTATTTCAAATATCCGCCTACCAATTATCAAATGTTTCAATGTTTACAAGCGGTACACAGATGATATCTCTTTGTCATCAAAGGTAAATTATCCTTCTTAGATGTGCGTTCAGCTTTCAAGACACAATCAGATTGGAAGTCTACAAAAATCAATCTACCGCAAGCTAGAATGGAATGGACAGCTAACAAACTATCGCAATTTTGTCTGAATAAGCAGAGAAAGAAATCTCGTCGCCTGTCTTGCGACTAGTTGTAGATTTGAAATTTAATGGAGATACAACTAGTGAGGTTCTCCGAAACTGCCTGTCAAGAGTATTACAAAGAAGGTTTTTTTTGCTGCGTTTCCACATCTCATCTTCGCCATGCATACTCTTGTCCACCGAAAACGTCAAATAAAATATCCCACTGTTAGCAACTTCAGTGGACAATTATAAATTCACTTGCTCCTCCCTGAGGAGAAGTACATTAGCCATACCATCAGGACTTTGTCTACACGCGACTATAAACACAATGTAAGACAGTCAATGGTGTAATTCTAGAGCATATTATTACTTCCATAGATGCAGCACTAGCAGAAACTTTTTTCACAGTCATATATATATATATTCCATGTCTATGTAGGACACACCATTTGTGCAGGCATGCATAAGTATTATTTCAATTACATAAATTTGGTTTATGGCGAAATTACATGGTTGCTGTCATTTTTGTCTTTAGTTTGTGAGAACAATCTGCTAACTAGTCATTCAATGGAGCACATCAAGAAATATAGAAATATTGTCTTCGCATTAGCAGAAAAAACCCAAGTATGTGTTGGATGGATTACAAATACTTGGGAAAAAATAAAGCTTGGAGTCAGTTCCCCCATATAACTTTGGTGTGTACGACATCGAATCTTATTTTTGATTTATATCTAAATTAAGCATTAATTTAAAATAAGTAATGCATTTGTATAATTTTATCAGCATTTTCATCGTAAGTAACACCAGAAGTGAATTGTACTCAGTGCAGACTAATATTGGTCATTGTCAGGCAGATTTGTTTTATTGGTTACAGGATTTCATCATGAGCTAACATTGGTTAGAGAACCATTGGAAAACCTGTGAGTACTGGACAGCTGTTTCGTCCTAGTTTGGGACTTGTTAGCAATACACACCCACCGGGGTTCGAACCCAGTACCTTCTGGTTACAAGGCGAGCTAGCTCTTAGACCACTAAGCCACTGAGACCCGATCCAATGGCCATTTCATGAATTCTAACTTCTGCCAATTCACGATATAGCGCAACCACTAGCCACTGTCAACTCATGATGAAATCCTGTAATCAATCAACGACATCCCTGAAACCAATACTTGAATATCAATGAGATGCTCACTGACGACTGGCCCTATTCAGGTAGGTAGTTACCTGGGGTTCTAGTGGGAAGTCGTGACCAGTAGGTTGGGTGTGAGGACAAATACTCGCCGAAGACATTGGCTAGCAGTTGCACTATGTCATGAAATGGCAGAAGTTGGAATTCATGAACTGGCCGTTGGATCGGGTCCCAGTGGCTTAATGGTCTAAGAGCTAGCTCGCCTTGCAACCAGAAGGTACTGGGTTCGAACCCCGGTGGGTGTGTATTGCTAACGAGTCCCAAACTAGGGCGAAACAGCTGTCCAGTACTCACAGGTTTTCCAATGGTTCTCTATTGTCGATGCCACCTGATGATGAAATCCTGTAATCAATCAAATCCCTACAAGCTAATACTTGAATATTTTGAATAGTCTGTAAGTGTTCACAATAATCGAGAGATAGAAGAAATGTTGTTTGCTAGGTTTTACTGACATAAAACGTTAATTTCATGCAACTGGTTCCCTTTATTAGTTTGAAGAGAGAAAGAATGAACATGTTTGCAGGATAATACGAGCTCGTTTTATTTCGTGGATTCTCATCAACTGCATACATTTTTTCATAATTACTTTGAGTTATAGATAGAAGGCATAAGGAACATAATTCCAGAATTTGATGTAGGTAGACAGGTTATTCGGTGTCAAAAACAAAAGCATATTTTCTGCAGTTACGTAACCTATTGTATTATTGATATGCTCTTTCTGATTTAACTTTTTTTCTATCAAAAAGAGTTCGAAAATTTCTTTTCTTGGGGGGTTGTGTTAAGGTTTACCCCCAACCCCTCGTAAAAAGCACAAGTTCAAATGGGAGCCGATAGGATTGAGGTAAAAAAACAAAACATTTCTGATGCATTAGGCTGCATATGGAACGGAATAATTGTTTGGACAATCCCTCCTGAACGACCTAATCCCAATATTTATACTCATTTGAATATTTCAGACTCAACGGAGCAATAAGGAGCGCCATTATTGAGCATATACTCAACACTGGTCATTCGATTTGCAAGGAGAAGTCGTTCAAAGTCATCTATAAAGTCAAAAGAAGCCTTCCAAAATCGACAAGCTTCCGTATACTTTGTATTGCCGAAGCCTTAGCGATTTGGATAGAAAAGCCTGATTTATGCACACAGAT